GTTTAATTATTCTTTTGCGGAGCAAATTTTTAATAAATGAGTTATCTCAAAATATTATATTGGATATAAAATATTAAAGCTTTATATACAAATTGACAGAATAATAAATTTTGTTAATCAATTTTCAAAATATTTTAAATTAAAAATTTGACGTCTGTCAACTGTCACTTGAATTTAACCTCACTTTTTCTCAATTTATAATAAAGCTAACTTCAGCCAGTTACTAGCAAGCTTAAAAGTCAAGACAACGTTTGTGGCAAAAATAAAAAAAATATAAAAAAAAATCTGCAAAATTTAAAATATTTTGTTTGTTGCAAAAATTTGGGGAAAATCAAAAAATAAAAAGTCATGGAAATTCATTATATCAAACAAAAAATTCTGGGAATTTCTCAGATTCTGGTAATTTTTGGAAAACGTCAATGGTCAAATTAAAATGTCTAAAACGCATGTAAATATATATTTTTTCTACTCCCACCTTTAAAACGCCCTTTATCGTACATGTTTCCATGACACTAAGTGACCTTTTAAATACACATTGACAAGTTTTGTCTTTATGGCGCTTTAGTTACGGGCTGAAGTTAGCAACAGGTTTTAGTCACGGGTTGAATTAGTTTTGAGTTAGTTGACAGTTGTCAAATGCCATAAAATCGTTAAAATAAAGTGCCTTTCATGTAAAATAATAATAAATATGAAAATTATTTTATTATCTCAATACAAAAATACAAAAGTATTAAATAGTTTCTCAACGCCAATATTTGAAGAGTTTATATGAACATTGTACTGACCTTTTAATTTCGCCAGCAGTAAACTATAACTTAAATTCGGGCACGGACTCCACTGTAAAGTCCTCATAAAACATTTTCTTTACTTTCACTGTGAAAAACTGTAAATTTTCAAGAAATACATTTCGATTTATGACCTTTATAATCTCTGTTTATAAAATGTAAAAATTTGACATTTGACGGAGACACACAGATTCCCCTATTGTTTCATAGATGGCGCTCTATACAAATTTTTGATTTAAATCATTTTAAGATAATAATAAGTATTTGTTCTAGAAAAAGTATAGTATGCACCTCGTTTATAAACTTTTCTATAAACTTATTATTATAAACTTATTAATTTATACACTTTATTTATACAAAAAATACAAAAATTAACTGATTCTAAGATATTGTCCAAAAATGTGTACAGTAGAATCCCACAAATATTTAAAAACTTTTAAAAGGAGATGTTGTCTTTGTAAGAATAAGTACTTTTCTCTAAAAATGTAAAAGTGGATTTATTATAACCAAAAGGTTTTAAAAAGGTTAAAAAAGTATTAATATCCTATGAAAAGGTGCAACTTACTGTATACAGTATACAGTGGATGACCTCCCTAGGTTTAGGATGACTATTAGATCAGTCAACTTTTAAACACAAAAAATAAAAGTGCTTTATTTCGTATTTTTGCTCGCCAAAATAAAATACTTCACCCATTTCTTGCCATCAGGTAAGTTTTGAAATTTTTGGTTACTTGTAAATATTTAGTAACTGTGCTAAAATTATCCTTGCTAAATTACAAAATATTTTTAGTGCATTTCGTCTCGAACGTAATTTCGTCGACATTTCGCAATTTACCCTGAAATGATTGTTTTTATTGTGTCGGTATTTTAAAAGATTAAAGCGCTTTGTCATGTAAATCCAAAACCAGTTGCACTTATTTTATAATTTACGCTCATTGCCTCTCGTTCGGTGGCAAGAAAGAGAAAAGAAAGAAGAAAAAATCATAATAGCCATTAAACAATTTCGCTGAAGTGATCGGAACGCGCTGTCAGTGTGCATGTCCATAAATTTATTTGCTTTATTACCTGCCGTAATAGACTCCCGTGCGTTAATATAATAAACTGTCAGTTTTAAAAGCACTAAATTTTACGTGTATGTATCATTTTAGATTGTCAATTTGCTCGATGGACAATTAAGAGCGGTTTTTATGGGGCTTTGTTCAAAATGACCAAATTCTTTTGCCTGCCTTATCTACATAAAATAAAATAATGCCGTCAGCGATCTTACAATACCTGCGTGACATTTGGTTAGAAAATTAAGGCAGCTTTGATAATTTAGGAGTGAGCATTTTTGTGAATAAAAATGATTTAAAAACTCATTAATTTAACAAAAATTGGAATTTCTATGAGAATTAACCTTACGGTAAATTAGAATTTAAGAATAAATAATATGTTTTTGTTAATTAAATAATCAGTATTGCCACCTCATTGACAATGAAACTAAAAACACAGTTCTCATCTAAATTATCTGTAAAAGATATTTCTCCTTGACAATGTAAAAATTACACATTTATTCTTTGTTTCCGGTTGAATCTGCCAAAACAATCTTTCAGCGCTCAGTGTTTTACAATGCAGCATAAAATATGCCGAGGAAATAAAGTCACTGCGCTGATATAAAAACAACTCGATCTATTTTTAATTTTTTCACGGCACCATGAGCACCTGGTTATTAATTATGACTATTTCCCTCGTCTTAATTTCCACCAATCACAAACGCGCAATTTTGAATTACAAATGGTTTCTAGGTGAAAAAACCGTGTGACAGCACCTGTCAGCAGTTTATTCGAGTTTACCCGCGGCAAAACTTGACAGCTGTTGTCACCAAAAATTGCAATTTATATTTTAATTGTTAACTGTTACTCATGAAATAGTCTTGTCAAATACCATTCGGGCATCTAATTTTTCCTGTGAAAAAAATCGAAAAAACACAATGCCAAGTAATATTTTTGAACAAAAAGCATTCGTGCAGGTGCAAAAATCCTCCTCTTCGACTCGGATTTTTGTTGCCACCAGCACTCATGCTTTTTGTTAAAATATTACTTAGCAACGTGTTTTTTCGATTCTTTTCGGAAAAATTAAATGCCCTTATGATATTACTTACGATAAATGTTGTTCCTAAGTAACAAAGATAAATAGGAAATTTCTTGCATCTCTTCGGCTCTCGGTAGGGTTTTTTATTCTTTTTTTGTTTGTCATGGGTGGTAATCGTGCATAAACCTGTTCCCCATACAAAAGGCCGTCATTATTAAAATAATCAATATAATTTCTCATTACACGCTTAGAATCTTCTTCAGCTTTAATCTTAATTAATAATTCTAATTGGTCAGCAATTATTTTAAGTGTGCCTAATAGCAGGATTAGCGAAATAATAAGATCAAAATTAGTTATTAATAATAATAAAAATATCACATTTTAAAATAGACAATTTTAATTATAAGGGGAAACTGCTGACGCATTAATAAAAACAAACATGAAATTATGGGTAATTCTGAGTTAGCCATGTTGGAAACAAATATGGATTTACCCGATTTAATACAAAAAAGGAGATAAATGTGTGTTTTATTTTAATAACAAGCATAATAATTTTTGTTCGTACTTGTAAATGTACGTAGCTAGAGATAAACAAACAGGTTTATTAATTAAAAAAAACAAAAACAAAACGTCGCTTTTATAATTTTCCATTTCTAGATTGTAAGAAACTGCTATGAAAATTTTTATTGTAACTTGCTCCTTGGTATAATCATTTTATGTATAATTTCTTATGATTTTAATTTTGGTTTTTGATTAAAGCTGTAATAATAGTTCGTTCAAAATACAATTAAATGAATTTTTCTACTCCCACCTTTAAAACGCACTTTATCGTACATGTTTCCATGACACTAAGTGACCTTTTAAATACACATTGACAAGTTGTGGCTTTACGGCGCTTTAGTCACGGGCTGAAGTTAGCAACAGGTTTTTAGTCTCGGGCTGAAGTTAGTTTTAAGTTAGTTGACAGTTGTCAAATGTCATACAATCGTTAAAATAAAGTGCCTTTCTTGTAAAATAATACTAAATGTTAAAATTATTTTATTATCTCATTACAAAAATACAAAAGTATTAAATAGTTTCTCAACGCCAATATTTGAAAAGTTTATATGAACATTGTACTGACCTTTTAATTTCGCCGGCAGTAAACTATAACTTAAATTCGGGCACGGACTCTACTCTAAAGTCCTCATAAAGCATTTTCTTTACTTTTACTGTGAAAAACTCTCAATTTTCAAGAAATACATTTCGATTTATAACCTTTATAATCTTTGTGTATAAAATGTAAAAATTTGACATTTCAGGGTGACACACAGATTCCCCTATTGTTTTATAGATGGCGCTCTATACAAATTTTTGATTTAAATCATTTTAAGATAATAATAAGTATTTGTCGTAGAAAAAGTATAGTATGCACCTCGTTTATAAACTTTTCTATACACTCATTAATTTAAGCACTCGCTCGCAAGCTCGCTAAATTAAATTCGTGTATAAAATAGCGTTTATCAAACTTGATACATAATATACTATTATAAACGCCAAAGAAGCATAGTAAAAATCATAAAACAAATAAGTGGTATAAATTAAAACAGCAGTATTAATTATTAATAGCGTTGATTGAAAGACTTCATTCAACGGTAAAGTACCAAAAACGGGTGTTATGTTGTCTTTTTAGTTTTTTAGTGGACAAATAAAAAATATTTGATTTTAAGGTTGTATTTGTATTATTATTTTGTGTTAAATTTTTAAAAAATGTGCAAACTAAATATAAATTATATTAGCGGTTAAGCTGTGCAATTGCAACTTTGCGAATAAATTTTGTCGAGTAAGACTTCTGCCGTCTTCTCTTTGGTGAAAAAACTTCTTATTTATTTAAAAATGATTCTTATGATTTTAATTTTGTTTTTCGATTAAAATTGTGCAAAAAATGTTGGTTGGGCTAAAATTTTGAGAGCTCCGCTCCTTTAACATAACAAGCAATTAAATATTTATAAAAAATAATTTCTCCAAATCGATTTTTGATACTAAACAATCATTTTCAACTGAAACTAAAAATCGTTAACTTACTATTGTAGATACTTTACAACGAATAGATATTATATTATATTTTAAAAAATTTCAACTTACTAATGGTAATCTATTTTCCAGTGCTCCTTTACGAGGAGTTCGAGCACGACGACCTGCAGTACAAGACCCTGAAAATCACCGACTTCGGTCTGGCGCGCGAGGTGTACAAAACGACGCGGATGTCGCAAGCGGGCACTTACGCCTGGATGGCGCCCGAAGTGATCAAAAACTCGACGTTCTCGTCGAAGAGCGACGTCTGGAGCTACGGCGTCCTGCTGTGGGAGCTGCTCACCGGCGAGATTCCCTACAAGGGCATCGACACGCTCGCGGTGGCCTACGGCGTGGCCATCAACAAGCTCACCTTGCCCATACCGACCACTTGTCCGGAACAGTGGAAAGAACTTATGCAAAGTAAGTACTAAATTACAAACTCTACAATCAAAACCCAAATTTAGAACCCAAATAATCTACAATGCATTGTATCTACATTCAATTAAAGGCTACGGTCACAAAAGTAATAAAGTGAAAAGTGACTGGATACCTGGCGGACTAACCACCTGACAAAAGGAAGCATTTTATGTAAAGAACAAACGAGGCTAATCAATAGTCGAAAGGGCCATCAACCGCAAAAATCGATAAGTACTTTTAATTAACATGGCCTAATACGTACATTCCTTTTTTTTTGGTTTTGGTTTTTTTCACATTTTAGTTTTTTTTTCAAAATTAGTCCCATTTGCCTAATTTTTTATGTTTCCATGGACTAAAATTAGCCACTAAATGACAATTGTAAATGTAAATACAGTCTCGCGCTATGCACGCGCCACCACCACCGAATTGACCAATAAGGGCCGCGCTTGTTTTGATTTGGTCCTAAAAAAAAGTAAATATATTTAATATTTTTGATTTAGCGCTTGATTTTTCAAAAAACTACCAAAAGCAATTTTTTTATGATTTTTCAAATTCATGCAGAGTATGGAATTTTTTTTTCAAAAAAACAATAGCAAATTCTTATATAACATTTATTCATTGGTGGTTAAGTCGGAACATTCCGTGGACCTAAAAATAAAGCAAAAAAAAAATCAATTTTTTTATTACGGTATTTGTTGCATTAAGCGTTGCACGTTTTTCATCTAAAAATCTCAAAACTAGAAACTTTAAGCTTCAAATTGCTTTTTTTATGGCTCCAATACGACCATTTTTAACAAAGATGTATCCTTTAATTTTTTGTATTAGTGTAGAATTTTTACATTGCTATTGGTTTCTAATCTGAAAACTACCAAATAATAAGAAATCAGATTTTTTAGTCTTGGTCAAAATTTTTAATAATGAAAAATGTACTATATTTTTCATTTCACTTTATTATTAATATACATTTTACTCAAAATTTAATTAAAAAAAAAACAAAAAAAAAAACGTTTTTTTCATGGTTTTTTCACATCTGAAAAAAACCGTTTTTTTACATCTCTGGCTCTGACTCAACGGGCCATCCCTTTGTCTTTGCTTAAATTAAATCAGGGGTTTCTAATTAAATACTTGTGTTTCATTAAACTTGACCAATTTCAAAATAACGTTATTATCAATGTGCGTGAAAATACAACGTAGAGTCCTAATTTTTATAAAGTAAGTAAATTAACTAGATGATAACGAATATGCCATTTCAGTATACTTAAAGAATCAGGTTACGAAAATTCATAGTGTACTTTACAAAATTAAAATTAAGTTTCCCTTGTATTTATTTTTATTTAATTTAGTTTAAACTGTCACATCTAAAAACAAATACATTTCTTCGTGTTCATCGATAAGATTACAGTGTTTACTTCGTATTTGCTTAGCGAATATTTTGCTGATTTATACATGCTGTCTGGGAAAAAAGATCGTAAATCAACAGCTTTAACAATACATGTAATCATCGCAGTAGACGTGTAATTTTACTGGAAGCGGGCAAATTCAAAAACGTTTTTACCAAAAGAACACTCCTTTTTTATATAATTTCCTGTCATTTTATACAAATATTTAATTCAAATCATTTTAAGATAATAATAAGTATTTGTCGTAGCAAATAAAACATCAGTTCTGCTACATTTTAAATTAACGAGACAAACATAAAAACACTTGTGCTTGTGTGGTATATTTATTTGTATTTTGCTTTGATTCGTAAATTGTTCCGTATAAGGCATAAAAATAGATGGTAAGTACATAAATAGCGCTGAACATTTCTAGGTTATCAGACAGACAGAAACGCGAGGGAGAGCAAGCAGAAATCAATGATTGCCGCATTGCCATTATCTGTTCTCGGAAAATCGTAATCTCGAGAAATTTTATTTGTTCGCACGCCGTTCTTCATCGCTTCAATATCAATTTAAACCTGCACGTGTGTAATTTTACAATCAATAAATTATGAGATTTTCATGATTTTAAACAGGAAGTTTCACAACCCAGAGCATAAAAATATTTAAAATTCTGAACAAACATAAAAAAAAATTACAGTGACAAAAAAGCAGGAATATTGGGAGGACATATGTTCTATCTTAATGTAAAATGTTATTTTATTAAAATAACATTAAAATATATAAAAATTCACTGTTCTACTTTCATACATTGTGACGCAAACACTGTATAACTTTTGACAGCATTTTCGGGACTGATGGAAAATTTTACATAAGAGGTTTCAATTATAAATAAAAATAAATGAATTGAAGCAATAAATCTAACGAAATCTGTTCTAAAACACCTGTCCAAAACAGCAAAATATCCGGATAAGAAAATTCCAATTTGCATTTGTCGTGTTGTTGTTTTTTATCGGCCACCTGTCGTCTCATTTTCCGGGTAAAACCAAAGGCGACCGGCAACAAAACCAAGAAAAACCGCCGTCGGATCCCATTCACAAAGAGCACGCGGCCCAAATAATTTATTTTTGTACGTGCTCCGTCTCGCAAACAAATAACAAATTTATATGAAAATGAGATTTATTCGGTTGGAAATTGGCTTTAACGCTGCATCCGAGACCCGTGCGTTTCAGTCTCTCCATCATCGCGATAAATCAAACGTAAAAATGTAAAACTTTGTCGTCTCGAAGATTAATAAAGATTTAACCACTAGTTTCAGTAAATCCTTCATTTCTTTCATCTTTTATCCCATTTTGATTTAATCTATTTTTGTTGCGTTTTATAAAACGTTATTTTAACAAAATAGTATTAAACAGAAGTGAGTATTTTTGTGCTGAGATCAAAGTTTGAATGCCGACGCGTAGTGGAGGCCTACAATTGAGCGAAGCACAAAATGGCATGCAGCATTTTATCATCAAGACATAATTTTATTTGTTAACCCGTACAATTATAATATTAATTATTATTTAAAATATTCTATAAAATAAAAACTTTAGTAGAACCGTATGTAATATATTACCAAAGAGATATGCGAATTTTGATCTATTAACAAATGCTGTGATAAAAACTTGTTAATAGCAAGTACCTAATTTATTTATGTATTAAAATTGTAACCATTTTCCTTATCAGATTTTTTGTTAAACCGCAAAGTCTTGAATAAACTAGATAATGTGGATACAGTCCGGGCCAGTCTTCAATACATCAACATTTCCAGTTTGACCCAATTAATTAAATGGTGTAGATACAAATAATAATTTTTATATAAGATTTTTTAATGCCCGGTAAATAGTAAATTTTTATGCAACTTACACAAAGGATAAAAATTGACGTACAATTTGTTAGCTTTCTGAATATTTTTTTTATGTTTAGTTCTTAAAATTTCCAAAAATTACATTAGTATTTGGTATTTAAATAAGGAAGGAAAAAAATTATTATGGTTATAACCACAGAATAAAACATATATTTTTACATAAACACCTTTACAATAAAGTTATTTAAATTAAGCATTAACACATATTGGTGTTACGGCCCTGCGACTAAGGAGCAGCGGCTTAATATACGTTTTGTTATGACTTGTGCGTACAGTGTCGCTGTTCATTGTTCTGTCGTGGTGTGGTTGGTTTTCTTTTTGTATTCGTGAAAGGCGCCTCGCGCCGCGCATATCAATTAGACACCTTCCTGGGCCTTTTGCAGGCCGTTTATCACCTAAGAGAGAAACTAACAGACGCGTTTGAAATAAAAACAAAACCGCAAAACGTTTTAATAACTTTGAGTTTACTCGGGATCATTTCAAGAAGTTACTACTAGTGTGGGAAAGTTTGGTAACTTCCTAAAAAGAGGTTTTTCTATTTAAAATTTAAAGAGCGTTTCAAATCGTCCAAAGGAAAACAGAAAATGGAAAAAAACCTGTTTTTCTGGGCCCTGGAAAAATTATCCTTTTTGGAAAAAAAAATGTTTGCATCTTTTTACCAATGACTAAATGTTCTTTATTGTTTTAGGTTGCTGGGATTCCGATCCGCACATGAGACCTACATTTGCCGTAATCTTAGAACAACTGGACAGCATAGTTAATTCGTCATTTACACAAGAACCGCACGAAAGTTTCCATGTTCTGCAGGACGATTGGCGCAAGGAAATCGAGGAGGTCCTTCTCGATTTGCGAAGAAAAGAAAAGGTCAGTATTTAAGATCAACCAAACATGTACCAAAATATAAAAACAATAATAATCAATAATATTTATGAGATAACCTCTTAAGAATGTTATTGTTGTTTTTTAATATTATACTTTATAAACTTTTAATATAGTCCTGTTCGAAAATAATACATACTTGTTTTTCCTCTTTGATGCTGCTTGTCAGGCTTGTAGATCATACGAAGAGGTAACTATTACTCCATTATTATATTTGGTTTTTTTAACACCTTTTTATCGGTGATTTGACGTTACTTTGCATGTCTTAGACTCTTTTTTGCTTGCACAGTAAGTGAACAGTAGGGTGGGCCGAAAAAATTATTTTTTGAATTCAATTTAGGGGTAGCAAAAAAAATTTACCTTAGGCCAAAAGTAGTTTGTAAAAAAAAAATTAGCGTACTAGCCCAATATTTAAGGCCCCCCCTGGGCGCCCAAAATATTATTTTTTTATATTTTGTTTGGGGTGGCAACAAAACAAGAATTGTAGAAAAAAAAATAGCGTACTAGCCCAAAATTTAAGGGTGCCCCGGGGGCCCAATATTTTTTTTTTATATATTAATTGGGGTAGCCACAAAAAGTTACCTTAAGTTAACAATATTTTTACAAAAAAATGTCCCATATTAGAGTTTGACGTAAAAAATTTGGCGGTTTAGCAAATTCTAGGGTTAAAAATGTTTATAAATTTGGAAATGTTTTTTTTAAATAAAAGAACTAAAAATATTTATAAGTCGAGCAGACGACTTCTATATAAGGTTCGGCAAGTTTCCCTTTCACACGCAGGCGGTGAAAAAGTTTGTGAAGCTTGTAACAGAAGCTGCATTAAAAATTTGCTGTGAGGTAGCAAGAAATGGTTATATATAGATGCGCGGACATCTCTACCGGCCTATATGACAACAAGTCTAACTCGAGGAGCAAATATCCAATTAATTAATAATAATAATAATAATAATAATAATAAAAATGCTTTATTGCGTAAAACACAAAATTAATTACACAAAAGGCTGCTTTCGTAAGGACGTTCTTCCATACCACCTACTAAGAAATTAAATCTATTTTATTCTGCATATTACATATTAATTAAACTAAATCCTATAATTTCATATCACACCAGTTAATAACAAATTTTTGTACTCTAAATTAAATGTGTTTGGATATTTAAATATTATGTTAAAGAATGTTTTATTGTTCAAAAGTTCTATAGATAGGTATATTAGGTCTATAAACGAATCCTTAGATTTTGAAGTTTTGTGACTAGGTATTTGAAAAAGATTGTGTCTTAAATCAAGATTGTGTTTATTAGATCTTTGAATAAAGTTGTTGAATAGATATTCAGGCAATTATTAGGTATTTACTTTCTGCACTAATTTTCCAAAATTTTGCTTGTAAGGATCAATTATTTTTAAATGCTTGTTTTCCAAATAGATTGAAGTAATTGGGTCAAATTTTCCGACTAAATATATGAATCTAATACATGAGTTTATTTTTAAATGTTTCAGTATGATATGAGTAGTAGACTGGCATGCAATAGTCTATAATAGGGTGTATATTAATGTTGAAACAATTTTGCACTTGGTGTTAGAATTTAGAACATACTTAAATTAATATAGTAATTTCAGCTTCATATAACACAAACTAAGTTGTCTTGTAACATGGCGTTTGTATAAAAAATAACACCCAGATTTCTTGCTGTTTCTTGCTGAGGTATTTCTATATTATTTATATGTTCGGTATTAAAATTATATTGTTTTTTATTTATCATATATACTGTACCAATATTTATTACAAGACTCTTTTTGGCATTTAACTGAAGTCTATGATTAACTGACCAAGCATTTACTTCTTTTAAGACTTTATTTATTTCGATAGTGGTTGTGTTAATTAATTTAGAGTAACGCAAAATCTTTTTTAAATTTAATAAAATCAAGCTAAGAGTTGCTAATTTTTTTCATCAAAAGGCGTCTTAATAAAATAATAAAAAAAACTTAGACTGATACCGGCATTTGGTTTGTCTATGCAATAATACGTGGGGTAACTTTTTGTTGCCACCTCAATTAAAATATATATAAACAAATTTAGGCCCCCCAGGGCACCCTTAAATATTGGGCTGGAATGGCTATTTTTTTCTAAACATACTGTTAACATGAGGTTACTTTTTGTGGTTACCCCAATTAAAATATGAACAAAAAATATATTTTGGGCCTCCGGGGCACCCTTAAATTTTGGGCTAATACGCTCATCTTTTTTTTAGAATTACTGTTAATATAAGGTAACTTTTGTGGTTACCCCAATTAAAATATGATAAAAATAAATATTTTGGGCCTCCGGGGCACCCTTAAATATTGGGCTAGTACGCTCATTTTTTTTTTCTAGAATTACTGTTAACATAAGGTAACTTTTTGTTCCCACCCCAGTCAAAACATACAAAAAAAATATTTTGGGCCCCCGGGGGACCCTTAAATAATGGGCTAGTACGCTACATTTTTTTCTAATAAATTACTTTTAACATAAGGTAACTTTTTATTGCTACCCAAAAATAAATATCTCAAATATTTTTTTTTTTACGTTTTTCGGTCCACCCTAGTGAACAGGGTAAAACTACGTTTTTAAGGTTTAAAAATACCTATTAAATTATGTTTAAAATTGGCGGGGTGAAAACAATTATTATTACAAAACATTCATTTTTAACATACATGTGAAACATTCGACGTCAAATTGATACTTTTGAACCCGACCCGTTGGGTAAAATTTGTATGCCTTCCCAGTTTTTTTTTTTAAATGTTTAACCCAACAGAAATAAAGTTATGAATATTAAAAAAATTGTGGTAGTTAATGACCCCCTTGTCACACTTCTTCACAAATTGTCAAATTAGGTCAAGACGTAGTAATATTCGAAATAAACAAAAAAGTCCTTTCCTTTCCAATAAAATTTCCCAAAAAAGGTTTTTTCTGCAGTTGGCACACTGCTTGAACCCTTTGGTAATATTATATTAAATAAAAGGCAGGTTTTTTTTCGAAAAAAAAGGTATTTTAATTGGTGTTTCCTCATAATTTTTTCATTGGTGCCATTTTTTAAATAAAAAATCTTGATATTTATAAAACCGTTTGGCCACTATTGTGAAGAAACGAATGTTAATTAGAAAAAATTAGGATATTTAAAAGTAAGATGGCTTGCTTTAACACCTTTTATGAAGCGTGTGTATATTTGAGCCTATTTGTTCTCTTTTTTATCAAGTATATAATTTTCATATTTTCCGAAGAGGTTCTAGTTTTATTTTGAATAACTTTATTCTGTTATAAATATTTTTTTCTTCAATTTATTCTATATTTTATAGTAAATAAGTAGTCATTTAGGGTGTAAATATAGAACTATAAATTAGTTTTCATAAATAAGTTTATTTTGATTAAGGAAGATTATTTTTTTTAAACGGGGAAAAGGGCGAGTTCTTTTAACGATATAAAACCAAAAATTAAAATTTGATGAATACAAATATTTAATTTTTTTGTTTAGATTAAAATTTTATTATTGTTGTGGTTTTTAAGTGTTTTGTTTACTTCTTTAAATAAATAAAAAAAATAAATGAAATAATAAATATTAAGATGTTTGATATATATTGAATATATATCGATATATATCCGATATTTTTATATTTATATAAATATCATGATATTTTCAAACCCTGATTGTAATGCTTTATCGTGAAAAGAATTTTATATCTATTTATTTAACTGATTTTAAATTTATTTGTGTACTTTCAAGATATAAGTTATATGGTTATTTTCTCTTAAAATTGATTTATTGATACTTCATTAAAAATAGTATACATATTGTGTAAAAAAACGGTAAAAAGTTATTTATACTTTTTCTACGCCTATAAAAATTACTTATTAAAAATAAATAAGAAGTAGGAGAAAGTGAGGTTAAAAACGTTTGATAGATGTTGGATTTTATACGACAGGCGACTATGATGATTTTGGAATAAGAAAGTGGGGTCCAAATTATTATCACACTGAAACTGGTGATAGAATGAATATTCTGAAACACCTTATACAGGGTGTTCCGAAATTAGTGCACCATACTTTAACAGCAGATTCTACGTTCAAAAATAAGAAAAAAAGTCCTTATAAATATAGGTCGACAAATGCCTCCTAAGGGAGCTACAGCCCCTGAAAAGGGAGCCCCTGAATATGGTTTTTATATAATATTTATAAAAAAGTAGAAAAACCCTGTCACTTACTACATGAAACTGTCACCTGTCTTGAATTATTTTTTTTAAACATTGCAGCCGTATTCCAAGGACCACGCGAGTCCATGTCTATGGTTGTGATTTAATTGTGAATTTTTATGCTATGTAAAATAATTTTCAAATCGATTTTAAACGAAAACGAAGTATGTAATCGAAGTTCAACAAGGCGACCTTTTTTATGTGCAAAACTCCAAAATTTCATAATCTGACATCAAATTCTGGTACAAGAGGCGTACAAAAAAGTTAAGTTGGTTTTAACCCCACTTTCTATCAATCTGACTCACACCTCATGAAATTTTTAAAATTTTTATTTTTACGTCTTATTGGTTATAAAAAGTTTAATTAATTCCCCAAATTTCACTTTTCTATCTTTATCGGTTTTGGTGATATTAAATAAAAACCATCTTCAGGGGCTTTCCTTTTGGGGGCTGTAGCTCCCTTAAGAGGCATTTCATGACCTATGTTTATAGGGACTTTTTTCTTATTTTTGCACGTATATATACGTTATAATCTGCTGTTAAAGTATGGTGCACTAATTTCAGGACACCCTGTATAATGTAGGTAATTCCATAATAAAAATTAATACCTATTCTGTAATAGGAGTAGAAAACCTATAGAATGACCTATATTCCTGAAAGTATTACATAATAAATTATTCTATCATCGGATGATGGAATACTTGTTACAGAATATACTATTCTTAGACAGATTTAAAGAAATCTACTAATTTTTTTTAATGACCCTGTATAATTTTTGTATTAAATATTTTAAAATTAATATAATTTATTTTATGGCATTACCTATTTAATTTATTTAATTTAAATCTTGTGAAATTACTAAACAAAAGCTTTTATAATTTAAATAATACAATATAAATTAAATACATTCTTTTCTCAAGGTGAAGGATTTTTTTATTTTCTTAAATTCTTGCATGGCTGCCCTAAATTTTCGACTAATTTTATTATAAATTTATTAATTTATATAATAAACAAACTTTTGTCAGAACTTTTAAATAAATAATTTACCAAAATTCTTTTAGTTTAAAATAGCAGTAATACTTTATAAAAAGTAGGTATATTTAGTAAACCCTGTTTAATTTGATTTTTTAAGTAGTTTAGTTTTACTTTTGATTGATTTAAAGATTATTATATTTGAGTTTTCAGTTTTTGTTGACGTGTGCCGTGCGTAGTTAATATTTGTTTAAAGGACATCTTTCATATATTTGAAATATTTTTGTAGGAACTTCGTTGTAGAGAAGAGGACCTCAACCGCGCGCAAGTGCAACAGCGCATGCACGAAGAACAACTGCGGCAAAGGGAACAAGAACTTCAGGCGCGCGAAATCGACCTGCTTCACCGGGAACTTTATTTCATGATAAATCAACAAACACCCACGCCTAACAAACGAAAAGGTACCTAAATTTTCCATAAATTTTACAGCTCAATTTGAACCCCAAATGCTGGGATATTAACAGTACAATTTTCAGTTTGAACTAATTTTATGTCGTTTTGTTTCAGGCAATTTTAAGAAATCCCGCTTAAAGTTCCTGAAAAAAGAGCCCGGCTCCAATATCAGCTCCCCTAGTGACTTTAGGCACACGATAACTGTCAAACATACGGCGATTGAGGGCGTTATTTCTCCCAACAGCCCCCCAGGCTCCCCTTCGATACCCAGACTGAGGGCAATTGCACGTAAGTACCATTTGCGTATTTTGTTTTTTAGGTTATTAAAGAAAAACTCAACTCCTTTACAATGTAGTAATTTTAAATTAAAATTTGAATATTGTAAGGGGGTTTTAATTCGATCATATTCGGCATTTACTAGCATGGTGTTTCATAAGCATGACATATGTCATAATGTGTGTGTTTTTTCTTAGAAAAGTTAGAAATATTTTTTGTTTTTTGATTTTTTTTCTTAGTCTATTGTTAAAGTGCTTACTTATTAAGTTTGTGTGGTTTAATAGAGTAATGTATTTTTATTTTGATTTAATTGTGCACATTATTGTTTTAGTATTTTTTATTACAAGTTTTTAACTGTAGGTCCCCAGTACATAAACTTAAAAGTTGATAAATACTAAATATTTTTTAAATAAAGTCACCTTACACTATTTTTGTTTTATTATTATTTTGAAGCCATTATCGTCCCAATAAAACTAGTTTTAAAAAATGGCAGCAAAAAATCCCTATATAATAATTCAAAACAAAATTGAAAAATGGCCTATGAAAAAGTTAAATTAACAATAATTCAATTGGGTACATTATTTTAATTTAATTATAATTGAGCATGTATAGTATAATTTTAATTCAATTATAATTATGTAAAGTATAATTTTAATTATAAAATTATGTGTGCATAATTTAAATTAAATTAAAATAATTTAAGTGCGCCCATTTAAAATTATACTCCACAGTATTTTAAATTACGAATTAAAATTATACTACAATATAATTTTAATTATAGAAATTAAAATTATGTTAAAACACCATTTTAATTTTAGCAATATTAATTAATTCTACGGCGTTTAAAATAGTTGAATTAGTATTACCACAAGAAAAACGTTGCAAGTTTAAATAGGATTCAAATAAAAATTATAATATTTGTACCCTTTTCAAAAATAATTCATTGAATTACACCTCAATATGTAGTTATTATTTTTTACATCATGTAAGATAAAAATTACTTGCCATTCTATAGTATATTTTATAACATTTTAAATAGCAATCTTAATGGTATATTTATATTATAAGTTTTTTTTGCTAAAAAATTGTAAAATATGCACAGTAGGGTGATTTAAAAAAGTCTAATATTTTTTTACTTTCGACGCTGAAAAATTGGTTCTTAAGCACCTCTACTCTCTAAAAATGAAACAGTGGATTTTCACTGATTGACAGTGCATATGAACTATTTGCCGCAATGATAAGTATACCACTAGCAATTAGTGAATACTCACTTTTTCATGTAGCGATTTCTTTGCACTAATTTATTTAGTGAAAATTACACTGTACAAATTAGTGAAATAGGTTTAGTAGACAAAACCACTAATTCAAAAAAGTTAAAATTTCACTACCTATTTTATGAAGAGAGTTCCGGAAAAGTATTGATAATAAAAAACACTAATTTGGAGAAGTTAAAATTTTACTAATTTATATTGAAAAACACTAATTTTACAGTGAATAATAAACTCTGACGGAAATAGTGAAAATTTCACTGTTTCACTTTTAGAGAGTAGAAAGTGCTCAGCAAATTTAATTAATAGGAAGATCCTCCTCATCACAGTTTTCCATTTTTTCTTTTTTCCATTAAAAAATACCATATTTTATTATTAATCAATCGTTTAATCAAATCTTTATATATATTTTTGTAGGAAATTGAATGCTCTACAAAAAGGACTGATGTGTTTAAGTGATTTAACCATTTAAAATATATTTAAGATTTAAAGAATTTATAAAAAATATAGGTATATATTTTTTTAATAATTTTGTAACTCATTGAAAAATAATTATTGTCAAATGAGTATAACATGTAGGAAATTTAAAGCTCTACATAAAAGGTATTTTGTGTTTAATTGATTACTCTAACTGTTGAGAAGATATTCGTGTTAGTACGCATTGGAATTGGAATACGAATATCTTCTCAACAGTTAGAGTAATCAATTAAACAAATCAGAACTTTTTTGTCGAGCGTTAAATTTCCTATACGTCATACTCATTTGAGAATAATTATTTTTTAATGAGTTACAAAATTATAAAAAAATGGTTTTAATAAATCCCTCAAACTTTGATTTGAATATCTTTTAAATCGCTTTAACACATTAGTTTTTGTATCGCATTCAATTTCCTACAAAAATATGTATACAGATTTGATTAAACGATTGATTAATAATGAAATATATAGCTCTTAAGCTTAAATTTGGTGCCTAATAACCAATTTTTCAGTGTCGGAACTGAAAAAAATATTTGATGCACAGGCAAAACAATAATTGTTATCAACAGTTAATGAAAACATAGCGGTGATAAAATAAAATATTTTTCTAACAAAAACACACACACTAAGCGAATAAGCGGCTTATGAATCGCCGAATATCGACTTAATATCGAGTTAAGAAGGAAAGAAAGAGAAAGAGAGAATGTAAAATTGCAGTACCCGCCGACGGAGTGAAGGGCAAAACGTGGGGCCCGAGCACGTTCCACCAGCGCGAGCGCGGGCTGATCCCGGCCCTGCGGCCCATCCCGCCCAACGTGTGGTCGAAGAGCGCCCCGAACCTGGACAAGGCGCGCAACGCCCTCATGCGAGCGCCGAACGAAATAGGTAATCACAATAACACCTCGCCGACGAACGGCGGCAAAAAGCCGGGCTTTAACTTGTTGAGGGCTTTAGGCAAGAACTCGCGTAACAACAGTTTTCCCACCCATAACCACCCCTCCGCTCTAATCCAACCCGGTTTGGGCCAGAATAACCGTTTGAGCCGCTCGTTCGGCAACATTGCCGAGTCGAACTACGACACCGTCTTCAGCACGGACTCGTTCGTCATCGCCCGCGGCGTGCACGTCGACTCGGCAACGTTGCAATCGCGCAGCCGCCTCACTCACCCAGAACAAGACGAACATTACGACGATACCAAAATGCTACTTAAATGATGCATTTTATGCTTTTTTAACCGTTTTTGAAGTAGTGCATACTTAATTTAGGCAAAGGGGTATCTTAGGTTTCTTCCTACCAAGCATTTTCAAGTCAAATGGAACAAACCTTTTATGACAGACTCTAAAAAACATTTTTAGCAATATTGTTCTTTCAAAACATTCTTTTTAAGTTATTATTATATCTATTAGTTGTTTTTCTCTTTATATACTCGGTGCTGTTCTGAGAAGTGATTTTTGGACTTTCTGTGAAACCTAATTTTTTTTTTATATTCTTGTTAATTAGGTCATAACTGAAATTTTAAGAGCAAAATAAAAAAAATTTTACGGTTAATTTTGTTTTAATTCGATGTTTATTAAAAATATGTATGCACAATTAAAACTTGCCATTCTGAGAGAACAAAAATTATAGAATACGTATACTGAAAATGACAATTCAAACGTCAAATAAATTTTTAATATATCTAAGTTTCATGGCAACCTTTAAGGATATATTAATTAAGGGAACATAAATGTATACATCAAAGGTTAGATTAAAAGTTTGAACGTTTATTGCAACAAAACAGTAACATATATAAAAAAAATTGTAAATATTAAATATTTAAATTAAATCGCTAGTTTTAATTGGATAATTGAAAGAGTGCATAATCTTTTTAATAAACAGCCAATTAAAACAATTCAAACCGTCAGTTTTTTTTTATTTTGCTCTTAAATTCTTAGTTATGACCTAATTAACAAGAATATAAAAAAAAATTAGGTTTCACAGAAAGTTCAAAAATCACCTCTCAGAACAGCACCGTCTATAGGGTGTTTCACATTTGTGGTCCGTTAGAAGTTTTTGGGGAACGAAAAAAATATCGAAATTTTAAAAGCGTTTATAACCCACTTAAGTCTATTTTTCTAAAATATTTTGTACACCCCATATATTTTTTAATTTTTAAATTCTACATAAAATTCTGAGTAAAATTACTAAACTGAATAGTTTTCGAGTTTTTAATTTGTTTCGTTATAATTTTAGAAATGCTCGTCAATTAAAAATTTTTTTGTTATTAGGTTTTGCGAATGGGAATTCTTAGAATTTTAAAAAATTGTTTAAAAGATTCTTTAACATTTTTTCAACAAATTACCTGAGAAATACCATGTCAAATTTGACATAGGTACTTGAAAGTTTAATAACTTTTTATTTTAAATTTAAAAGATATTTGACAATTTCTAAAATTTTAAATATTACTTTGTATCAAGAAAACTGTGACGGTTTCTATGGTTACCACGTAATCTGTCATTGTTCAACATTTAATGGCGTCAATTTTTTATGTTGTAAACAATTTGTTGACTAATTACCTAAGTGTTTAGTAAACAAAATTACTGATAAAAAATAGCAGTCAGTGATTTAAAGAAATCAACGTAGCTGTAGGATGTCAGATGTAGATGAAGCACTAGCTCATTGGAGATAATAAAATAGAAAATTTATTTTATGAAATATTTTAATACCTAACAAAAAGAATGCGTAAGTGTAACAATTTAAAAAACCAATCAAGTAATATTGTTTACAAAACACTTAATTAATCAACATGGTATAGTAAATTTTATACAGAATTTAAAAATGTAAAAATATATGGGGTGTTCTATATGAAATAACAAAGTTGATGCCACTTTGTGGCTTTTTGTTTGAAATATTTTAGAAAAATAGACTTGAATGGATTTTAACGCTTTTAAAATTTCAAATTCTTTATCTTTTTTAATTCCCCAGATACTTCTAATGGACCACAAATGTGAAACACCCTGTATATGGTATTTAAGTAGTGCATTTATACAAAAATGGATATTGGGATTTTTTTCAGTTTGTTTTGTCGTCCGAAAATTTGGCATATATCCTAAATTATAAAAGCTCTATTCCGATAAAAAATAGTTCAGATAGTGCCTCACTAGAGGGCAGTTTACATAGATACAAATATTATTAGGCTATAACTTTTTAGTTTAATTCCGTAAATTGACTATTATTTTAATTTTTGTATTGTAAATCTATTTCCTAAAATAAATAACTTTTATGAACCGCATTTTAATTAGACACGAGCGAAGCTTGTGAGTTAATAAACAAACAAACATATGTCACAGTTTGTCAATTTATATTTAAAAGATCTTTTAGCATCATGAAAACATATATAATAATGTGTTTTTTAAACTTCAATGAAAAAGTCAACTTGGATAAAATTTATTTATTATTTAATAATGTATTAATATCAGCAATTAGCTGTGAAACAAAACTGTTGGGCAGAAGCAAAATAATATAATTGTACATAAACTGCCCTTCACCAGTTCTATAATTTAGGAAAACTTGAGGGATATGCAAAAGATAGATTCATAAGAATGTTGTATGCTAAAAACTTTTTTAAGAGATTTTAATTAAAAAATACTCCCTAAATTAAATTATTACTCATTAGGTTTTCTTATTAAGGGGTTGAAGTTACTCAAGTAACATTTTTCCTTGGTGTCTTAACTTCTTGTACACGTCTTGAATAGAGAGTCATATTGCCAATTATTTTAGTAACTTTAATTTTGCTTTAAATAAATTATTTATATATCTAAAACTAAAAAAAAATGTTTTTATTAAATTGGTATAGTTCGTAATTAGGGATTATTTATTTGTACAGTTGTAAAACAACCTTATTTTTAATATTTTGCACTGCGCCAATCTAAAAGACACTTTCCGTTTACTTCTATAAAGACAAAGTAAAATTCCACATTTCCAATGTAATTTTATGAAGACGTAACCATTATTTCACCCTTATTCATTATTTTTAAACGATAATAATATTAGTTTTTACATAGACTTTAAAGATAGCTGTGAATCATTTAAAATAAGTTTATTAAGGACCACAAATATTAAAATTAAATTTTGTTTAAAACAATTTAACATTCTTTAAAAAAATGTGTGTGATTATTTAGTAATTGTGGTTGTAAATACTTTCAAAGTGCTTCCACGTGTTTTTAACGCGTGCTGAGCAATTCATTAATAACATAAACTAAAAGTTATAATTTGATAAAGGCATATCTCTGGAGAGTCTGCCAAATGTAATATGTAAGTTAAATGGGTACAGAACGTTAAATTTGTAGCATAAGCACAGTAGCATGTTTTATTTAATTTTTTTCAGCATTGAAGTATGTAGTTGACATTGTAATTATTATTTAAAACTTATGTTTTTTGTAGTTAGGATCTTTTTTAAGGTATATTGTGTTAATGCTATTTTTTATTTGTTTAAAAAGGCTTTTTCGAAAGCAACTCATAGTTTATTAATTGCCTATGAGTTGGATTTGAAGCTAATTTTCTTTATTGGTGTTGGTCTATTATTTGTATTATTATTTTTAATAAACATTGTAATAGTGTTTGAATATTGCTATTTTATTTAAAACACTCGCATGTCCTTTTATTTTGGGTTCTCGCACGAAAAATATCCTTAATCCCACTAAGAGTTTAACATATTATTAAAATCTATAAAATGTATATATTTTCTAACTAGGTATTGGTAAAAATGTATAAACCAATACAATATTTACTAAATGTTATAGTAACATAAAACACACTAAAAAGTTACAAAAACGTAAGTGGAGGCTTTTTTGCTTATTAAAATTTTATTTTGCAAGCTGTAGTTTGATGTATTAACTTTGAACAAAACATCAGATAGTTATGTTTCGGTTTTGACAGATTATGCACCGCATGAAGACTGGGGTCCCGAATGTCCCCTTCCCATGCCTGGGACATTGAGGCACAACGTGCCTATACCAACTTTATATAGCGCCGACGGTAAGTAAATGAACTTATGAAGTTTTGATATTTCGCAGGATATCCTGGACGATTATAATACATGCACACATATACACAATATTAAAACATTTTTTATATGTACGTTTTTGTTTTTCTTATTTTTCTTAGGACAAAGATTGAAACCGAAATGGAGTATAGTGGAGCTGGTTCTGTACAATATTGCGGCCATGTTGGCTGGAGTCGCGTCCGGATACGACGTTCGATTGTCGAATGTTTCTCCATTACATCCCAGACTACAGCCTAATCGGTGAGTAACAATTTAAAAGTCATGTGCTATAAGAAAAAATACAATATACAATGCAAGATGATTCAAATGGCTATCTTATACCTATCACATGTTTTAAAATATCTGAAAGTAGAATTAAGTCGTATTTACATATTCAAAGACGTCACAATGACTACATTTAAGATAAGTGGGTTTTTCTTTGATAAAACATTTTAAAAACAACGTATTGAAAATATTATATCTAAAATCCATTAAAACCATAAAAAAATTTCTATTTTTTACAAGTGCATTTTAGTATAAAAATAAGTTAAGTGCAGAGTTGTTTTTTAATTTTCTCATAACATTGAAAATTGTACTTCTGCATGATAATTAATATATAATGCAAACATTGAAACAAGTATCCAGAATTTTCCACTTCTCTTTTTTGCACTTGTACCCTTTTGCTTTTTACCCCTTCAATTGTATATATTGGTGTAAAAGTAACTTTTTGTGTTCAAATCAGAGTTTCGTGCTACATTTGGATAAAATTTAGTTTTATTACATATTCAACAGTATCTCCTTACTATTAATAAACTAAAACTTCATTCTATAATAATTTATATTATCACATTAAAGCTTTGAACAATTAAAGGTATTTTTTAATTTAAAATTTAATTAACTAATCGTGCAATTTTTACAAGTGAACCTTTTTGGTGCCAATATATACGGAGTATTAATATTGCAAAAAACTTCGGAATGAGACTACTTGCATGATAGTAATAAAAAACTTTTCCTCCGCAAACTCAATTCTATACATGTTTTAAACCTCATGTTTCAGCTATTTGTGATAGAGCGCGGATTATAAATGCTTGAAATATGCCAGAAAATCAAAACATGACCTTAGTAAAAAATCGTAAATTATGAATTTTGTAAAACTTGACACCTTAGATCAGTTTTTCGAGTGCCACTGCACAATCTACTATTAGTTTGATTTTGAATTGTAATTAATAGCAGGGTTACGCAACATAAAATATAATGTAAGAATCTAAGAATTTGTAGCTAAAGAAAGAAAGGAAATTTATAAATCAGACTTAAATGTTAAACAGTTGTTTTTTTATTTTTTACAATAAAAATTGCTTTCAATAATTTTTATTTTTATGTAAACATCAGCAACAAAATATTACAAATAAAGCTCAGCTTTAAAAGCTGTTTTTATTAAAAATAGTTTTATTTATGTGTTGAAATAAAAAAAAAATACATATTTAACACTGTTAAATTGAACGAACACAATATATCGACTTATAATGCGATTTCATCAATGTCAGTTTAAAACCTGTGATCACGTCACGGTTAAAAATCACTGATATAAAAAATCACAGTGACGAATATCAGTATGATTGAAAAATCACGGTATCGCTCATCTCTATATAATAAGTTATTTATAGGAAGTTGAAAAGAGTTCTTAGTTAAGAATCCATTCTCGGAGCGCTTGCATTCTCTTTTATGCACTCTTGAAGAAGCGCGCGTCTTAAGGTGACGGCATTTTTAGCCAATATCGTTAAACGTCAGGGTCGTTGCATATTCTTTGTTGCGGTTGTACGCTTTTCGGTTTTACAAAAACAGGGATTGGAATTTTGCGCATTGTTCGAATAACAATCGGACTAGTAACTTCGTTCCAAAAGTAATTTTTGTCTTGACATGCTGGTCTATTTCTTTTTTGTACACGAAATGTTCGTATCGTATTTTAATGTTGGAAACAACCAAGATAAAGCCAGTTCTAACAAGATTTAACAATTGTTTCCTTAAATGTTTTGTTGTAACGTAAATGTTATATTTTAGACCCGAAATCGACTTGCCGGCGTGGCGACCGGTCGAGAACCAAGACTACGAATATTCGACGACATCAGGCTACAGCCACAACACGTACCACGGCCCGACGAAGCATTGCCGCCCGATGCTGACGGGCTCGCAAATAATGAACCTGCAAAACGAAGAAATGCGACCGCTCCGATTCACTGACTCGCCCCAACACCACCCGCCCAACCCGTCGCCCAGACGCAAGAGCAGCAGCACCAGCAACGACGGCTCGGAGTTGTACGTGCCGTACGAGAGGAGCGCCACCATCTACATCCCGGGGGATTACCACGGCACGCAGAGCGATACAGGCCCGTTCCCCGCCATCAGGCCCGAGCCCGGGGTTAACTACAGCTACACCGACCATAGTTCCGAGTACACTAGCAGTACTACTATGTACGGTTACGGCACCGACTACGCGTATGACAACCCGAGCAGTATAAGCAGCCATAGCGGCACTAGGACGCCGCAAAGGCTGCCGGTGCACAGCCACAGAAGAACCAACTCGAACGTGTCGAACGCTAGTAGCACCACAACGAGCGGTTCGAACGTTAACCCGAGCTTCAGACTCGAAGAGGAATACACCCCGCACTACTTGCGCAGACCTCACGATTACGACTACTACTCGCGTCAAGAGTCGAACTTCGAAAGGCCCACGACTCTGGAAAGCACCGGGCACACAAAACTCAGATCGAGTCTGAAAAGGAACAACTATCAGGCCAGCCAGGGGCACTCGGGCGGGAACACGCCCACCAACCCCACGCCGCCCGACAGCTTGACCAGCGACGACAGCTCGTACGTGTCGGCCAAAGACAGCAACTGCAGCGTGAGCAGGGTGCGATTCTCGCCCACGACCTTGATCGACTTGCCCGCGCCCGGTCAAAATCAGGATCCCACGATTCCGTTGCAGGCGAGGAGGCCCAGGCAAAGGCCCTCGCTAGCCGAAATGGAACGGGAGTTCTTGTCATAACCTATAACGATATTTTAAGATGGTTGCAATGTAGCTTACGATAAACCTCGAGAGAGAGGTTTGCTGATGTGGGGCTGGAATGTCTTCAAGAGGACATTATACTGTTAAACATATAGCCGCCTATTCAGGTAAAAACTAGGTAACTTGAAATTTGCCGATTCTCTCCATCAATAATATACAGGAAAACAAAGATAAAAATTTGCATAATAAATAAATCAAAATCTAATCTTAAAATCAATCACTTTTTATATTATATATTTTAGTTACAAGTCCAAGATACTGTTTTACTCCATATACTTGTATATGGAGTAAAACTGTATCCTGTACAGTAGATTGGGTCGAATATCCGCTTTTTCAAAATTAATTTGTTAATGGCAAAATATCATTCTAAGGTAAAAAAAAAACTAGGGGAAAATTTTAAGCGCGCGGAACGCACTAATCAAAAACTGTATTTATAAAAAAAAATTGTGAGAAATATAATATTTTGGCATGAAAATTGTCAAAAATTTGCTTTACAATAAATTAACCACGAATAATACTTTTGCTATTACTAAATTAATTTCGAAAAAAGCGGATATTCGATCCAGTATAATTACAGGCATTAAACAAAAGCTATTCTTGAATTGTTTTCCATTCTGAACTTTATATTTGATGGCTTTTAGAACATTGAAATAATACTTTTTATATTTAATAGTAAAATGCCCTTTTAAGAAAAAAATCGTATGCTTTTTAAGATTTTACGAATTAGCTATCAAAACTATTTTTAGTACATTGGATTGAATTTAAACTAGGTTCCTTTACCTGTATTATAATAGTAACTGCCATGTAGAAAAAAGACTATTTAAAAAAAAATCTTGTGAAGCATATAACAAGCAATATTTTATTTAGATTGTAAGGCATAACTTATTTTATTATTAGGTAATACATTTACTAGTCCTAATTTATAAAAAAAAACTATTTAGACATTCTGGTTCTGCATCAAGCGCTGTAAATATATTGGATAATTCGACAGATTTGAATTGTTTCCCAATTCTAATTTATTGAAGGTTAAGCTCAAATTATTTGTAATTTTTGGAAAATGCAACTGAATTTGTAAATTACTCAATCCATTGTGCCTGCCTGCCCGCTGTATGCAGCTTTTTGTACACTTTTGAAATGCAATTGAATCTTCAACTACGTCACAACACGTCGATAGACTGGGTAGCCTAGCGTTAGTCCAGGAAAATTGGACATAAGTTTTCTAGTTTCCGACAATAAACGCCAAGTTAATTGTCTACAATTGTCCAAAGGTATTTTTTAAAAGACAATTTAATAAATTGTCAAAGAAGCAGTAAGTAGCAAATGGTTACTCCTATAAAAAATACCATCAAACCTGTTGTGGATTTTTTAATTTATAATTTTATCAAACGTTCATTGTCGAAAAGTCCACCATTTTTGGGATATTTGAGAAAAACGCATTTTGCTTGCAAATTATTGTCTAATTTTTCTTGACTAAATTCTTAAATATTAGGCTACATTTATGTAAAGTTTTTTTGTTGTATTTAGCTCTGAGTGATATGTAACTTTATAGTCATTATTGTGCAATTTTGCATTTTAAACTTATTTTTGTCAGTTTTATAAATTATAAAAAAAGATAATATTGACGCCTTATATAAATATTTGAGATTGTAGGTTTTTAAGTAGACTTTTTTTGGTGATGGACATTTTAATAGGTTTTTCAAAACATCATCAGTTTATGTATATTTTTTTACAGATGCAATATTTTTATTTAATTATTTTATTATAGAAAGACTGTTAATAGACATTCCATTATATTTTAGATAAAAATCGACCAATTTTCAATTTACATTATTTCTGTAGCGTACTGTTTTAATATTTTTAACATTTTTATTATATTTTAATAAGACTTGGTATATTGCAAGTTTTACCACTAAAGCAATTTGATCACCATGGAACTCACATTTCATGGTATTTAGACCATAACGTTTAAATACATCACAAATTATAGTTTACCCTTAAATGTTATGCTCAACCTTTAGAGATTTATAGAATAACCCATGGTGGTCAAGTTGGATTTGTACTATTTTTAATAATTTGGGGTACTTTGTGAATAAGTTCTAATTAATTATTTACTTATATTTGTGGCCATGATTTTAAACATAATGATGTTCAGTATTCAGAGATAATACATATTTGTACATATTAAATATACTAGTATTTAGTTATAACATTGTGGCTTCCACATAAAATATCAATTAGATTTATTTATTAAATAAATACTGTTAAATACATTCCGAAAAATAAAATGTTTCTTAAAACAAGAATATATTACTTAATACTCAAATAGTGTGAATGATATTGTAATGACTCTGAATAAAATTTATAAAAACTATTTTGTGGATTTATTTTATAATTTGTGAGAAAAGCTTGAAGTGTATTTAAAAAATTAAAAAAACTTAAAATTTGTTCTATTTTTTTTTAAATGTACCTCTGTGGAAATTTATCCCACTGCGAATTTGTTCCTTATTTTTTAAATTTATGCAACTGAATTTTTTAAATTGATCATATTGTGCGAATTTGTCTTACCATTTTTTAAATTTATCCCACTGTGCGAATTTGTCCTCCTATTTTATAAATTTATCCCACTGTGCGAATTTGTCCTTTGAACAGCGCCATCTGTTATCCGGTAGCCAAACGTTAAATTTACAGAAAACTTTTTCAAACAATTATTGTAAAATTTATCTCACTGTGCGAATTTGTCCTACTATTTTTTAAATTTATCTCACTGTGCGAAATTATTCTTTAAACAGCGCCATCTGTGATCCGGTAACCAAACCGAATAATTGTTTGATAAAGTTTTCTGTAAATTCAACGTAATAATTGTTTGATAAAGTTTTCTGTAAATTTACATTTGGTTACCGGATAACAAACAGATGGCGCTGTTTAAAGGACAACTTCGCACAGTGGGACAAGTTTAAAAATTGGGTGGACAAATTCGCACAGTGCGATAAATTTAAAATTTAGGAGGACAAATTTGCAGTGGGATAAATTTAAAAATTAATAGGACAAATTCGCACAGTGGGATAAATTTAAAAATTGGGTGGACAAATTCGCACAGTGGGATAAATTTAAAAATTAGGAGGACAAATTTGCACAGTGGGATAAATTTAAAACTTGGGAGGACAAATTTGCACAGTGGGATGAATTTAAAAATTAGGAGGACAAATTCGCACAGTGGGACAAGTTTAAAAATTGGGTGGACAAATTCGCACAGTGGGATAAATTTAAAAATTGGGTGGACAAATTCGCACAGTGGGACAAGTTTAATAATTGGGTGGACAAATTCGCACAGTGGGATAAATTTAAAATTTAGGAGGACAAATTTGCACAGTGGGATAAATTTAAAAATTAGGAGGACAAATTTGCACAGTGGGATGAATTTAAAAATTAGGAGGACAAATTCGCACAGTGGGACAAGTTTAAAAATTAGGTGGACAAATTCGCACAGTGGGACAAATTTAAAATTTAGGAGGACAAATTTGCACAGTGGGACAAAATTAACCGGATAACAGATGGCGCTGTTCAAAGAACAATTTCGCACAGTCGGATAAATTTAAAATTTAGGAGGACAAATTCGCACAGTGAGATAAATTTTAAAATTTGTCCACCCAATTTTTAAATTTATCCCACTGTGCGAATTTTTCCTCCTAAGTTTTAAATTTATCCCACTGTGCGAATTTGTCCACCCAATTTTTAAATTTATCCCACTGTGCGAATTTGTCCTCCTATTTTTTAAAATTTATCCCACTGTGCGAATTTGTCCTCCTAATTTTTAAATTTATCCCACTGTGCAAATTTGTCCTAAATTTTAATTTTGTCCCACTGTGCGAATTTGTCCTCCTAAATTTTAATTTTATCCCACTGCAAATTTGTCCTCCTTAATTTTAATTTTATCCCACTGTGCGAATTATTCCTCCCATTTTTTAAATTTGTCCCACTGTGCGAAATTGTTTTTTGAACAGCGCCATCTGTTATCCGGTAACCAAACGTTAAATTTACAGAAAACTTTATCAAACAATTATTAAAAAAATTTTAAAGTTTATCTCACTGTGCGAATTTGTCCTACTATTTTTTAAATTTATCTCACTGTGCAAAAATGTTCTTTGAACAGCGCCATCTGTTATCCGGTTAATTTTATCCCACTGTGCAAATTTGTCCTCCTAAATTTTAATTTTGTCCCACTGTGCGAATTTGTCCTCCTAAATTTTAATTTTATCCCACTGTGCGAATTTGTCCTCCTAAATTTTAAATTTGTCCCACTGTGCGGATTTGTCCTCCTAAATTTTAAATTTGTCCCACTGTGCGAATTTGTCCTTTGAACAGCGCCATCTGTTATCCGGTAGCCAAACGTTAAATTTACAGAAAACTTTATCAAACAATTATTAAAAAAAATTTAAAATTTATCTCACTGTGCGAATTTGTCCTCCTAAATTTTAAATTTATCTCACTGTGCGAAATTGTTCTTTGAACAGCGCCATCTGTTATCCGGTAACCAAACGTTGAATAATGTTTGATAAAGTTATCTGTAAATTTAACGTTTGGTTACTGGATAACAGATGGCACTGTTCATAGGACAAATTCGCACAGTGGGATAAATTTATTAAATAGGAGGACAAATTCGCACAGTGGGATAAATTTAAAAATTGGGTGGACAAATTCGCACAGTGGGATAAATTTAAAACTTAGGAGGACAAATTTGCAGTGGGATAAATTTAAAACTTAGGAGGAAAAATTTGCACAGTGGGATAAATTTAAAATTAAGGAGGACAAATTTGCACAGTGGGATAAATTTAAAATTTAGGAGGACAAATTCGCACAGTGGGATAAATTTAAAATTTAGGAGGACAAATTCGCACAGTGGGATAAATTTAAAATTTAGGAGGACAAATTCGCACAGTGGGATAAATTTAAAATTTAGGAGGACAAATTTGCACAGTGGG